GCTGGAGAGGGTGTGGAGAAAAGGGAACCCTCTTGCACTGTTGGTGGGAATGTAAATTGATACAGCCACTATGGAGACCAGTATGGAGGTTCCTTAAAAAACTAAAAATAGAACTACCATACGACCCAGCAATCCCACTACTGGGCATATACCATGAGAAAACCATAACTCAAAAAGACTCATGTACCACAATATTCGTTGCAGCTCTATTTACAATAGCCAGGACATGGAAGCAACCTAAGTGCCCATTGACATATGAATAGATAAAGAAGATGTGGCACATATATACAATGGAATATTACTCAGCCATAAAAAGAAATGAAATTGAGTTATTTGTAGTGAGGTGGATGGACCTAGAGTCTGTCATACAGAGTGGAGTAAGTCAGAAAGAGAAAAAAAATACCATATGCTAACACATATATATGGAATCCAAAAAAAAAGAAAAAATGGTTCTCAAGAACCTAGGAGCAGGACAGGAATAAAGACTCAGATGGAGAGAATGGACTTGAGGATGCGGGGAGGGGGAAGGGTAAGCTGGGACAAAGTGAGAGTGGCATGGACATATATACACTACCAAATGTAAAATAGATAGCTAGTGGGAAGCAGCCGCATGGCACAGGGAGATCAGCTCGGTGCTTTGTGACCACCTAGAGTGGTGGGATAGGGAGGGTGCGAGGGAGACATAAGAGGGAGGAGATATGGGGATATATGTATACGTATAGCTGATTCACTTTGTTACACAGCAGAAACTAATACAACATTGTAAAGCCATTATACTCCAATAAAGATGCTAAAAGAAAATGTAGGACCAACAACAACAAAAAAAAGTGCAAACAATTAATTATATGACTTTTGAACTTAAAAAAAAAAAGAGAGATTAGCCTTAGAAAGAATGAGGAGCAGTTCTTCAGTTGTATTAGAAAGGAAAGGGTAGGTATATTTGTCATATTTAGTGACAGAAAATTTCTCGAGTTCCAGTCTAATAGCTGTTCTGATTCTCTGTGAAGCAGAATAGATCATGTCCTGAGAATAAAGGGAGAGACAGTGAAGCTGGAAGTTTGAGGACTGGGAAGATATGAAATAGTTATTATGGAACATGAGAGCGGAAGCTGAATAGAGAGAATGATAGAGATATTCTCTACCTAGTTTAATGATTTTCCTCCAGCAGCACCCAGCAGCCCTGAAGCAGGCATGGGACATGCAGACAGTAAGATTCCTTCACTTTTTCCAACACAGCGGTTTTGTCAGGTGGATGTAAAGGAAAATAGTGCAAGCGAGTTTCAAGGTTTTAGGTAGAGAACATGCAAAGTGATGGACCTAAGCTAGATTGAGAAAAGACAACACGATGGATAGGGAGAAAAATAGGAGAGAAAGTACACTGTGGAAACAGTGAAATTAATGTACAAGTGTGATGGGAGTGAATGAGCTAGCAACCTGGAAGGACAGGAGGTTGCAGTCAATGAGTGGAATGTGTGATTTGTGAGTTCAGAAGTAGAGCAGATTTAGGAGATAATAAGATGCAGAATGTGGCTACAAAAGTGACAGTTATGTAGCATTAGGAGGTTTTATGATGGTGAAGACATCCAATAACATAGAGACCAAGTTATTGGATGAATTATCCATTAGCATATTGTAATCCTCTAGGTCCCAAATTTGTAGACAGTCGCACAATTTTGACTAAAAAGCAAAATGGTGAGCCAGATACCAAAGTGAATAAGGAGGCATGATCAGAAGGTAGATGGTATCTTGGGGAGGATTAGAGGATGGTACAACTACATAATATCAGCCTCAAGGAGCTTTATAGGTGTTTAACTGTGTTCCCTGGTCCTTTAGGTGCAAGATGTGGAAGTGAAGGGAGGAGATGTGACCAACTGATTTTCACAGAAAGTGATATAAAGTGAGGTAGCTTTGCATATACAGGGATAATTTGAGGCAGAAAACAACAGGATCCATACCTTCCTTGACCTTGAATAGGTCCAAGAAGTAGTCATGGAGTTTTGGGCAAAGACAAATATATTAGATGAATCAGAAGAAGAGCCAGATAGAATCTCTAAAAGATAATCTTTGCTGCTTATTGCATTGTATTTTTCTCTAGCTTATTGGGATACATTCTTTAAGTCTACTTGGGAAATCTATAGATGTTTGGATATGAACCAGAAGCCAGCACTGTGATATTTCTCAGTGCCATATGGATGTAGTAAAAGTGAAAAGAGTTACTGTAGGTGGCCTAGTTATTCTGATTGTATGATATGGAAAAATCAATATCTATTTGATGTACTCTGGCCATTGTTCCATGGACAATATACAGACTATATGAGTCTGCACATGGAGAACTTTGAAGAGAAGAATCTATCTACAAATTGTAATTCCTAGATTGTCAATCCATGGAGCTGGATTATCTCCTTCATGAACAAAGTGGCAGGCAATAAAAGTTTCCATCACCACCAGAATTGTGTTCTCATTCTGGAACAATGTAGATCTATTATAAAATTTGAATAATGGTTTTCTAATGGACTTTGGGTTGGGCATGGGAATAGTTTACCCATTGGGCTACTCAGGTGACATATCCTTATCTAGGGCCTGGACACACATCCTGTAGGTGGCAATATAATGAAGATATGGCCAGATGCAAGTCTAAGAAAAGTTCCCGAGGACTATGTTCAGAGTCAGGACTTGGTCTCAGCGAACCCTTGGGCTGCTTCTCGGAAAAGGCAAATGCCTAAAGACAGAGAATATCATCTATTTCTTCAGGCACCACCAGGGCAGCTATGAAATTTCAATGGACTTTGCTAGTTGTAGATACTTATCTGTTGTTTTCTCCTAATCCAGCCCAATAATTTCCAATTGCAGTTGTGGACTTGTACTGTAGATTCAGACTCAAGTTGCTTTAGGTTAAACTTTTTAGAAACTCAGAACAACAGGAAGATTAACATGAGAGTATTAGGTTGCGATTTCTGCCTACCTAATATAAACAGTTTTATAATGTTCATATCTTTGAAAAGGAGGGCCCGTTGTATTCTAGCACAATGTGAATTTATTTATTTTGATTAATTAATTCATGTATTTATTTATATATTTATTTGCCTTTCCAGAGTTATTCCAGGCCATGGTTATCAGACATTGTGGTCATGGGATGATTGGCCTATGCTCCAGGTTTTTGAGGGTTTTTTTTTTTCACATCTTTATTGGAGTATAAATGCTTTACAATGTTGTGTTAGTTCCTGCTGTACAGCAAAGTGAATCAGCTATATGTATACATATATCCCCATATCCCCTCCCTCTTGAGCCTCACTCCCACCCTCCCTATCCCATCCCTCTAGGTCGTCACAAAGCACCACGCCGATCTCCCCATGCTATGCAGCAGCTTCCCAGTAGCCATCCATTTTACATTTGGTAGTGTACATACGTCAGTGCTACTCTCTCACTTCATCCCAGCTTCCCCTTCACCCCTGTGCCCTCAGGTCTGTTCTCTACGTCTGCGCCTTTATTCCTGCCCTGCCACTAGGTTCATCAGTACCGCATTTTAAAATTCCATATATATGCGTTAACATATGGTATTTGTTTTTCTCTTTCTGACTTACTTCATTCTGTATGACAGATTCTAGGTCCATCCACCTCACTACAGATAACTCAATTTCGTTCCTTTCTATGGCTGAGTAATATTCCATTGTATATATGTGCCACATCTTCTTTATACAATCATCTGTTGATGGACATTTAGGTTGCTTGTTCCAGGTTTTAAAGGCAGTCTGTATAGTGAGTAGCTTTCTGCATAGGTACAAGAACAGAGGTCCCCCACCCCAGGGATTTTAGAACAGTATAAGCTCTGCTTTTGAGTTGGAGGCATCTGTTTCAGTGATAAAGAATTAAGGCAGTAAAAGTAGACTATGGTATTAGGTAAAGGTGACTGGTTCAATTCTTGGATTTCTTGATGGCTAGTATTCTGGCTGGGACCCAAACAAAATTCATTTCCTTCTTGAAATGGTTTGATTGTGGAACAGTGAAATTAGAGAACGATATATGATCTGCAAATAACAATAGGTATCTGTATATCCTTGATGTACTTGAAAGCTTGCCATTTGAGGGTATCAGATACCTTATTGGGTATCATCAAAAACTTCTGTTAAGGTACGACTCAGAAATTTGATATTCACATTTTTGAATATGTATTTCTAAGGTTTGGCCATTCTTCTAGATGGCCCAGAGTGGCCTAACCAGGGACCTAAATGCCTAATGTTTGTTTTTATAGCTTGCAACTATACACTGAGTAAATAAGCAATCATGTTTAAATAACCACAATTAATGACCCTCTTCTCACTCAAAAATATATTTTCCCTATCTATCTTCTCTATCTTTCTTATTCAGATATTTTAAAATACGCTTCCCAATTCATATCTATTTTTGGGCCTCTTTTCCTAACTTACCTCTGGGCAATTGATGTAATAATTTTTAACTTCTCCCCTGTGCTCTGTACGATAGATTAAAACAACTTTGTAAAATCCCATTTACATTTATTTGCTTGTTTATATACTTATGTGTTTTTCATGTAGACCTCAAAATAATCCATGCAGCTGGATATTTGTGCCAATAGGCATTTCAGGATTTTGCAAATGTTTCAGAAAACTAATATATATCATTTATACATAGCTTTTTATATGTATGTGCCAATCAGGAAGCAATTAGTTATAAAACATTCTATAACATCCATTTTTAAAGGAAATTTTTGATACAAAATAAAATGAAAGAAGCTTTAAAACTCCCTCATATTTAAATTACAATACTTTAAAATTAATGGGAATTAGTTTCAGAAGAGAGTATTTCTGGGGGGAAAAAAGAGGGGGAAGATTACATCTCCAATTTAAGTACTTTTAAGTACTCCCTTAAGTCCATTTTTTAAATTAAATCGCCTTTATAAATTAACTAAAAATTGGTTAACCATATTATTTAAATAACATAAAATTTGAGACTTTTCTAACAAAATGTTTTCTGCTTTTTTGTAGAGGATCTCTGTCAAGAAGTCCTTATCAACGAGGATTAATGTGTTCTCGATGTAGCAGCTATGACAGATGCACAGATTTTCTATGCAGTAAGATAAAGAAAATAACTGAAACATGAAAAAAAATCCATAATGCATTGGATGACAAGAAAAAGAAGTGGTGAACACTAGTCTTTCATTGTCATGTTAATATTGTTCCTTTGTTCAGAATGGTATTGTTATATTATCAAAGGTGGTATCAAACAGTATCATCTTTAGATTTTTTTAAACTACACAACCTCTTCTGCCCTCTCTTACTATTATTCCTGCCCCTTAGTACATACTAGAATCTGAAAGAAGGAAAGAGAACTAACAGTTATGCCCTGAAAAAGCTTCTCAGTTAATTCCTGAAATAGCGGCCTGTTTGAGAGTGGCTGCTCGAAAGGATAGGATATTCCAAAACATTCAGAAAGAGGAAAGAAGTAAAATAGCAAATATTTAATAGCCTTTTATTTTCACTTTTCCCCTAAACATTAAAAAGATAAAAGTAGAAAATATGTTTTATTAAATTTTTCTTTTAGTTTTTCTAAACATGAGAGCGTATAATCCAAAAGTATAACTATAGCTGGAATATATGATGCTTAGAGGAATGTGGTAGGGGATAAAGTCAGACAGTGAGTAAGGGGCATATTAGGCTTTTATGTTAAAGAAACTAGTGAACAATTTCATTATAATGCCACTGCTGGAGTGACTCCACCGTAACGTTTCTTCCCTTGCTTCATTTGAATCAAGATGCAAAACCTTGCTCTCCCTCTTCACCTTTTCTTTCTCTTCCTGAAAATATCCAGACCTAAAGTCATTGGGTAGGTCAGAAAGAGGTAGGCATCCACACAGAGGGCATCCAGATGTGACATGTTAGAACCTAAGCAAGAAGACAAGGGATTCATACATGATGTGGTAGGCATGGGGAAAGAGCCTAAGTAGGGTGAGAACAGTGTCCACGTGGTATGGCCTGGTATGGGAAGTTAGAGCTCTCATGGAATGAGGTGAGTGTACCCGCATGAGGTCAGGCTTGGGGTATAAGATCAGGATAAAGGGATG